TGAGGGTTGCGATCCGTTGCCGGACACGGAAAAAGACAAAAAGGAAAAAAACAAAAAAAAAACAAAAAAAAACATTTAAATTTACCCATTTCTCAAGTAGCAGATACTGAGTTTGTTTCTGAAGTTTTGCTGTGCTATCATCATTGAAGTTTTTAGAGATTGAGAATAATGTTTAGGCAAGGAAAGTACATTACTGACTTATAAAAGTGTGAAGGAGGCATCAGGGCATAAAACATGGAATAATGGATTAACTCTGGTACTATGTGGCAAGGCTGTAGGGCATATGATCAAGCCATGTTTAGTGTACAGAGCAAGAACACATGCACTCTCAAAATCAAAAACAGAAGGTATCTGCCCATGTTCTGGCAACATAATCAGGAAGCGATGGTGACAACCATCTTGTTTATGGAAAGGTTTCACCGATGCTTCATCCTAGTGTATTGGGCTTGGTACTAGCTGTGGTTTCAGGCATCTGCTGGGGTCTTAAAACGTATTTCCTGCAGATAAGGGGGAACTACTGTGTTTTTTCTTCTGCAATTGCCTTTTTCTTCCCTAAGGTTGTTTTCATAGTTAGTGTGGTCCTTCTCATGGTCTTTGTTACTCAGTATCAAAAAAGCAACTTAGGGCTGCCCAGTTGGCTCAAACAGATAGAGCATGATGTTCTAACACTAAGGTCAAGCAAAAAGAAGCTACTTAGATCAATGAAAAAAGTTTGAATTTTGGAACCAGAGACTTGAGTTTAAATCTTGGCCTAACTAGCTTTGTAACCTTGGTAAGAAGCTAGAATAATATCCATCAGAATAATTTCACTGCCCTAAAACACCCTGTGTTCTACCTATTTATCCCTATCCTCCTACCCCCGCCCCGAACCCCTAGCAACCGTGGATCTTTTTTTTTTTTCTCCTTTTTTGTCTTTTTTCGTGACCGGTAACGGGATTGCAACCCTCGGTGTCGCGCCTGTACCGCGACCGGCAATGGGATCGCAACCCTCGGTGTCGCACCCGCACCGCGCTCAACCAGTGAGCGGACCAGTCTCTATATGGGATCCGAGCCCTCGGCGGGAACGCCGCACTCTACCGAGTGCGCCACCGGGCCGGCCCAACTGTGGATCTTTTTACTGTCATCCTAGTTTTGCCTTTTCTAGATGTCATGTAATTGGAATCATACAGTATGTAGCGTTTTCAGGTTGACTTCTTTCGTTTAGCAGTATACATTTCAGGTTCCTCCTTGTCTTTTGTGGTTTGATAGCTCATTTCTTTGTGTAGCTGAATAATGTTCCATTGTATGGATGTACAACAGTTTGTTTATTCAACTCTGATGTTTTTATCATGTGTTTTTTTTTTTTTTCCTTTTTGTCTTTTTTCATGACTGGCAACAGATCGCAACCCTCAGTGTCACGCCCTTACCGGACCGGACCGGCAACGGGATCGCAACCCTCGGTGTTGCGCCCACACCTCGCTCAGCCAGTGAGCGGCCGGTCTGTATGTGGGATCCGAACCCTCGGTGGGAGCGCCGCACTGTAGCAGTGCGCCACCGGGCCGGCCCTTTATCATGTGTTTTTCACCCTGTTGCCTGCATCCACTTACATTCTGTATTAATTACAACTTTTTAAAAAAAACTATGGTAAGGGCCGGCCCGGTGGTGCACTGCTACAGTGCGCCGCTTGGGAGCGCGGCGGCGTTCCCGCCGAGGGTTCGTATCCCACATACAGACCGGCCGCCGCTCACTGGCTGAGCGCGGTGCGGGAGCAACACCGAGGGTTGCGATCCCGTTGCCGGTCCCGGTCTGGTACGGGCGCAACACTGAGGGTTGTGATCCATTGCCGGTCACAAAAAAAGACAAAAAGGAAAAAAAAAAAAAAAGTATGGTAAAATGTACATCATATAAAATTTTTCATCTGCTATGGACTGAATTGTGTCCCCCCAAATTCGTTGAATCCTTAATCCCAAACATGACTTAATTTGAAGATAGGGCTTTTGGGAGGTAATTAAGGTTAAATGAGGTCATAAGGGTGAGGTCCTGGTTCCATAGAGCTGGTGGCCCTGCAAGAAGAGAAAGAGAGAAAGGTATCTCTCCTTCTCTCTCTGTCTCTCTCTCCCTCCCTCTCTCCCTCTCCTTGCATGCACACACTGAAGAAAGTCTGTAGGAGAGGACAGCAAGAAGCTGGCTGTTCACAAATCAGGAAGAGGGCCCTCACCAGGACCCAAATTGGCTGGCACTTTGATCTTGGACTTCCCAGCCTCCAGAGCTATGAGAAAATAAATTCCTGCTGTTTAAGCCACCTAATCTATGGCATTTTGTTATGGCAGCCTGAGCAGACTCATACAGATTTTGGTACTGAGAAGTGTAGTGCTGCTGTAACAAATACTTAAAAATATACAATTGCCTTTAGAACTGGGTAATGGGTAGAGGCTAGAAGAATTTTGAGGTGCATGTCAGAAATATGGATGTTAAGGGCAATTTTTTAAGGTCTCAGATGAAAATGAGGAACATGTTATTGGAAACTAGAGGAACTGGCAAAGAACTTTGCTGAACTGTGTTCTAGTGTTTTGTGGAAGGTAGAACTTATAAGCAGTGAAGTTGGTTATTACCTGAGGAGATTTCCAAGCAAAATGTTGAAGGAGCTCCATGATTCTTCCTGACTGCTTATAGTAAAATGCTAAAGGACAGAGATGAATTGAAGAAGGAATAGTTTAGCAAAAAGGACCCAGAACCTGAAGATTTGAAAAATTCTCAGCCTGTGCATATTGCAAAAAGTGATAAAGTTTATTTTGAAGAGAACCCAAAGGGTGGCTGAACAGCATTTCATAAAGACATTATGGATGTGACTTATGGACTAACCAGGCATCTAAACAGAAGCAAGGAAGAGACATGGGGTGATATCAGCAAAGACAACACCAGTTTGCACCAGAGGGGGTAGAGATCAGGACAGAATGAAGGAAGGCTGTCAGACAAGACAATACGATTTTTCAGGTGTGCCCATAAGCTATGCTTCAAGAATACGGAAGAGTGACCCCAAAGGCAGCTCAGAGAAGTTTGGATCTGCCTCCTTGGTTTCAAAGGATGGGGACATTGTCTCAGTTTCAACAGACCAGATGGCTTCTGCTAGAGGCCTTGGGGGTGGTGCCACCCAGAATCTTGGAGATGGGGCTGCCTGGAGCCTTCAGAACAGGGTTTCCTGGAACCTTTGGTGTGTGACCCCTACCCAACAGAGCCACTGGGGTGGAATTGCTGGCCCTGTGGGTGCTAAAGGTAGGACTACTGCTGCAATGGGTCCTGAAAGTAAGACTGCCATCTCAGTGGGTCCAGAAGGCAGGACATCTAGGCAAAGAGAATTAATCTTGATCCTTGTTCTTGATTCTGTTCTTTCCTAACAGAATTTACCTTGCTAGGTTTTAGACTTCTTAGGATTGGTCACCCCTTTCTTATGTAATGGGAATGTCTATCCTACACCTGTCCCACCTTCATATTTTGGAAGTACATAACTTGTCTGGTTCCACAGGTTCATGGCTGGAAAGGAATTTTGCCACTGGGTGACCTTGAGTCTCATCCATGCCTGATTTAGATGTTATTTGGATGAGACTTTGGACTTTAGAGTTGATGCTGGAATGAATTAAGACTTTTGGGGCTTAAGACTAAGACACCATCTTAAACATTTCTAAGGCACAGCTCAGCAGTATTAAG